TAACAAATTAACAAAATTTTGGTGGGTTAAAGCAACATGAATATATTCTCTTGTAGTTCTGGAAGCCAGAAGTCCAGCATTAGTTTCAGGAATGAGAAGCAGGCTGTCATCAGACCAAGCTTCTACGAGACTCCAGTGGGGGAATTTATTTTATTTTATTTTATTTTATTTTATTTTATTTTATTTTATTTTTGCATCTTCCAGCTTTTGTTTGCTTCACCTTTCATTGGCTTGAGTCCACATCACTTCAAGCTCTGTCACTGTCTTCCAATTGCCTTCTCTCCTGCAGGCTTTATTAAAATATCTGTCTGTCTCTATCTTATAAGGACAATCGTGATGTGCTTATAAGAGAGAGAGACATTTAACAAAGACAGGCCTGTTTAGGGCCCACCTGGTCAATACAGGATAATCTGCCAATTTCATAATCCTTAATTTACATGTTTAAAGTCCCTTTTCCTATATAAGGTATATGTATAGGCTCCGTGAAATAGAATCTGATCATTTGAGCATCACACTCAGCACTAAACCATGATAGAATGTACTCTTGGTGTTGGTACTCTATACACAACACATGCTCTTCTCTCTCTCTCCTCCTCGCTGTCTCTTTCTCTTCCTTGTGATTATAAATCTCCTAACTGTCGTAAGTGTATCCAGTGCCATCTATGTCCAGGTCAGAGCGGCACACAGAGGAGGGTCTTGCTGTGATTTTGCTTAGAGACCTGCTCTTTCCCTTATTATCATTCAGAAAGAAGACACAGTCAAAGACAGCCCTCAGCCATCTGGGGAGAAGCTGTCTTTACAGGGAACAGTCACAGGCTATCATTCTCTGGACCTCTGCTTGTCTTCAGATGCCTGTGGTCCTCAGCCCACAGTGAGGGTCTGTGTGGCCCCTGACTCGAGTAGGATCCAACAGGATCCTCATCGGAATATCTGATTCACAGAAGGCAGCGAGTGTAAGGTAGGAGATCATCAGGACTTGTATTCTGAGCACCGATCACAACATTGGTCATGACAATGCTGATCAGAACAGGATCTGGACAAAACAGGATGCACTACAGAAACTGGTCCAAACCAGCTAGAACCAAGATGGTGACAAAAACAACCTCCAGACCACATCATGAGCCAGTCCTCCCCTGAAGGCTCCCGTTAGACAGACTGGTCACCATGGCTCAGTGGTGAGTGGTCATAGTATGAAACTCCTCCATGGTCTTTTCACAGCCCCCCTCTGACTGCAGTGATGTGGGATTTCTCTGTCCAACTTTCACGGTTGGAGCAACTTCTGGGACTCTGTTCACAATGGGAGGTTATCAAGGTAGTTAGGCTGCTCATGAACAGAGTGACATCTGTCCAGACTCACCCCCTTGACCCAGGCAGGCATCATGTCCAGGGGGCTGTGGGAGCGAGCAAGAGCTAGCAGCCAGGCATTTTTTCCCATTAAGCTAGGCAAGGACACTGCTATTACCCTGACTGGTCCAGTTGGTAACAGTGATCCTGTCTCCTGGAATATAGGGAGGGGCCTGGAGACGAGCGCCCCACAATATCCCAACTGTCATGTAAGTGAGGAACAAATATGAACATCCCCAAATATTAATTCTAAGTAAATGTTTTATTCAGTTCTATTAAATTCTGATAAGAAAGCAAAATGGGCTAAAAACTTCATCTTGAAGGAAACATTCATGTTTAATGCACAGAAACTGAAGTTGAAGCCTGAGTTCTCCCTCCTCACCAGAGAGTTGGAAAAGCAGGAGGAAGAGGAGCAAAGCTGGGTCCCCATGTCCATGAGGGCCTCCTGAGGCTGACCTTGCTCAGAGAGGGTAGGGAAGGTGGATGTGTCAGCTTGCGCTGCCACACGAAAAACATGGGACTGGATGGCATAAACCACAGGATTTCATTTTCACCTTTCTGGTGCCTGGAATATCCCAGATCGATGTCCAGCAGGGTTTGTTTTCTGGTAAAGACGTTCTTCCTGGTTTGCAGATGCCACCTCCCCCGCCCCATGTCCTCAATTACATCTTTAGACGTCCTAATTTCTACAGTCACAATGAAAATCAGAGTTTCAACATGAATCTGAGGACACAATTCAGTCCATAGCAGGTGGGACATAGCCAAGGCCGTGCTTCCAGTCTCAGGGCACGGGGCAGGTTCCCACAACTCAGCACACAGGTGGCTCCTCCCAGGTGCCCAGGTCACAGGAAAGACCGGACTCTAACTCTAGGGCTCCCTGTTGATAATGGGACACCAGCACTCCTACTTTCCCAGTGTTCCTGAGACCATGGTGTTGTCTTTTGTTTATTGTGGAGTGTGTTTGCCATTTTCAGACAGGTCTTTGGCATAGCAACTTACAGGACATTTGATTCTGTGATTGTGAAAATTAATTATTGATTAATTAATCACAAAAAACAAACAATACATTGAATCAGAAACAAAGGAGAGCCAAATGAAGAGCTTAAAAGGAGTCTGAGTATCTAAAAAGTATGTATTCCTTTCAAACAAGAACAGTTAGAGTCACAGATTTTTTAATAAATGACTTTTTAGCAGTAATTATGAAATAGCAAATGACAACTTCAAATAGGCTACAACAAATATAAGTTTATAGCCAAAAAATATTTTCAAGAATTATGTAAATGCATTTTCAGATTAAAACAAACAAACAATGAATGTGGGTTTATCAGCAGATCCAATCAATGGAAAATTTCTCAATTGCGTGACTGAGTCAAAAGTACATTTGTCACTGATGGAAAGCTTCAGTTTTTTTGTTTTTTTTTTTCTGTTTTTGCTTTTGGTCCTTAGAAGAAAACAGCTTTCTCTCCACTCTGTTCCGCCTCATGCTGCTGAGGATGACCGTGGAGGCAGTGACTGTGAGGAAGGAGGAAGACTGTGCTCTTAGGGTGGTCGTGCCTCCTGCCCACCTGAGTGACCTCGTGGAGCAGAGCCACCCACACCACAAAGGCCTCCCGCCTGCCTCTGCACTGCCAGGCAACACAGAAACCTTATCACATTTAGTACACCATATTTTGAGGCTTCTTTGTAATAAATTTGATTATGCTGTGATTCTTCTTGTATCTCTCCCCTTTCAGTTTTTGGAATCATTTACTTTTCACCATTTTGACTTGAGAATATAGGCCTTTGGGATATCAACATCAGGTAGGTTGTACATTTGTTTGCTTTTCCTAAAAACATATCTAACCACCTTGAATGGATTTTTATTTTATCTTCTGTCTCACAGAAAGCAGAAACTCAAGGTGATTAGGTGCTGTCAATCACAGGAGGGCTAAAGTGACAACGGAATTGCTGTATCTCCTGCTCTTGCTACTTACATCTTATTTTCTTTTACTGCATTCTGTAATAACATTTAGGCTCAATGATGCATTAATTAGTATTTTTGAATAACATATTAAGTGTCTTATGATTCTTACTTTGAGGGCTATGGTCTGATAAATATCTATATACATTTTTGCCATGCAACTTTTAAACCTGACAGAAATGACATATTGGAATTTTAATTGCACTTACTATGGAATCCTTTATCTTGAAATAAATCATCTCACTATAATTTAAGTCCTTAGCCTTCATCGATATATTGTTCTCTTGGCTTAACTAGTCTTTTGTGTCTCTACACCATATTATCACATGTAAGAGACATCACTCATTACTTGGATTCATATAAAGTTATTTGGTAGAACAATCAGACCATGATTATACATGATAACACTTGGTCATACTGGGAAATTGCAATCTTCCCACTTTCCAAACTTTCTCTCTCCTTTACCACTCAAACAAAACTGTTCTCTCCAGTATTATGGTGAAAAAAGCACTATCGCTTTTTCAACAGAAAGCAATTCTGTTAGGTTTAAAAGTTGCATGGCAAAATGTATATAGATATTTATCAGACCATAGCCCTCATATTAAGAAAGCATAGGCTGGACATTGGGGCTCACGCCTGTAATTCCAGCACTTTGGGAGGCTGAGGCAGGTGGATCTCAAGGTCAGGAGATTGAGACCATCCTGGAAAACATAGTGAAACCCCATCTCTACTAAAAGTACAAAAATTAGCTGGGTGTGGTGGCACACACCTGCAGTCCCAGCTGCTCAGGAGACGGAGGTAGGAGAATCGCTTGAACCCGGGAGGCGCAGGTTGCAGTGAACCAAGGTCGTGCCACTGCATTCAAGCCTGGCGACAGAAAGAGACTCCGTCTCAAAAAAAAAAAGAAAAAAGAAAAGAAAAGAAAAGAAAAAGAAAGCATGTAAATTTACAGCACTATTGTTAATGGAATCTATTAAGAGCATAATTTTTCTATGCGTTTACAACTAAAATAGAGGATTCAGATTTATTTTCAAAAAAAGTGTCATAAAAAAATAACGCGTTTATTCAGTTTTTGAATCATTTTCTTATGAAAACATACTACTAAGTATTTCCTCTCTAAAACACTATGTCAGTAAAATACTTTTAAAATTCTAAAAATTTGAGGAGGAAATAAAAATCTCATATAATTCTGCATTGTTCCTGTGGTACATTACAGAGACTTTTATGTTTTCCTTCTGAGTTATTTTGTTTATTTTCAATGCCCACTATTGGAATTGCAGGAACTCCATTTTCAGTCAGCAAAAGGTAACTGAGGAAAATCAAACTATTTTGGTATTAGGATTTATATCTGCCCTGGATTTTTTTTTTTTTTTAAACGGAGTCTCACTCCGTCGCCCAGGCTGGAGTGCAGTGGCCGGATCTCAGCTCACTGCAAGCTCTGCCTCCCGGGTTCACACCATTCTCCTGCCTCAGCCTCCCCAGTAGCTGGGACTACAGGCGTCCGCCACCTCGCCCGGCTAGTTTTTTGGTATTTTTTTAGTAGAGACGGGGTTTCACCGTGTTTGCCAGGATAGTCTCGATCTCCTGACCTCGTGATCCGCCCGTCTCGGTCTCCCAAAGTGCTGGGATTACAGGCTTGAACCACCGCGCCCAGCCTGCCCTGGATTTTTAAAATCTATAAGTAGTAAATAAAAATCAAACATTGTAACTAACTATTCTTAGCCATACTCCCATGAGGACAGCTGGTGCAGAATGCTTTCTCCACCATAATACTAGAGAGGCCAGGGTTGTGTGAGTGGTAAAGGAGAGAGAACATTTGGAAAGTGGGAAGATAGCAATTTCCCAGTATGACCCACTGTTATCATGCATAAAACTATCTCCAAACCAGTCGTTTGTAACATGTATTTCACTTGTGTTACCACTAACCTGCATCCGTGATCTAATTGTTCTGCCAAATAAATGGACTGGACAAATGTGGGCCAGACAGGGAGGGTGAGGATGAGCTTTCATTCACTCTCCCTTCATCAGAGCTGCTTGCTCCCAGAGCAGGTGGCCACCTGTGGCAGCTGATGGGACCTTACACGTGGGACTAAAACACAGCTGAGGCTCTCATGGGCTAGAGTCCTCAGCAGCAAACTCTGTCCTGTATTCTCCAACAGCCTCCTTTTCTGCAGTCTCAGAGGCCCTGCCGAGCTGCTCCCCAGACAAGCAGTGCATGTGGGCAGCTGGGCCAACCCAGCAGGGAGGTTCCTGTTCGAGGATGTAGCACTGTGGGAGGAAACTCTATACTTTGCATACAGTAATATACCCCAACATCCTCAGCTTCCACCCGGCTGATTTTCAGTGTGAAATCAGTGCCTGACCCACTGCCACTGAACCTGTCAGGGACTCCAGAGGCCCGGTTGGAAACCTCATAGATCAAGAGCTGTGGAGACTGGCCCGGCTTCTGCAGGTACCAGTCCAAACAGGTGTACCCGTCACTATCCAAGAGGCTCTGACTAGACCTGCAGGAGATGGAGGCCGGCTCTCCAGGGATGACAGGCAGGGAGAGTGGAGTCTGGGTCATCACAATATCCCCACTATATCCTGAAATAATAACAGAGGTGTGCAAGATTATATAGACACATTATGAGCAGCTTTCATGATTTTCCTTAAGATATTCATTTACAGTTACATATATTTTCAAGTTTTGATTTATATCATAAGAAGTAGACTTTCTAAAATGAACCCATTATTTACTAGCCATCAGGAAACTCTTTAGTTTCAAGATCTTAACCAGAGCAATGGTCATTGTTCCAGGAAGGTGATTCATGCTTATTTCTGAGACAAAAATACGAATTCTCTTTCCTCGAGCATAGACCATGTGCTTATAACACATGGTTGAAATAAATACAGGAAGCTGTGAAGCCTCCAGATCTCACCCTCCCACCCCATTTTCCCACCTTATTTTAATCCTCTCCTTACCAGGGACCCAGAGCATTAGCAGCCCCAGGAGCTGAGCAGGGAGCCTCATTGTGAGAAGGTGACCTGAGGAGTCCTGATCAGTCAAGGCAAGGTTAGAGCTGAGCTTTTATCTCAGACTCACAAGGGAGGGTCCTCCCCTAGGGAACAACGTGCAAATCCCCTGGTGGGTGCAGTGGTGTGAAAAAGGTTGATGGGGCAGGGGGAATGTCTCTTCTGTGAACAATGTGACATAAAATGTTTGTTGGAGCAAAACAAACATAGTTCAAGTCAAGTTTGCATGTGGTCAAGGGAAGAAGGCTCTGACTGTGAAAGTTGGGACGTTGGGCAGGGACACATTGTGCAGAGCATGCCACACTGAGAAAGCACAAGGACCCTGACAATATGGAAATGTGTTTCTAGGATGCATCTCTGGGAGGTAAATGTTATCCTGCATGGCTCCCTCCAGTCAATCTAGAGAAGAAAACAGCCTCATTCCCACAAACACAGATGGGCAGAGGACCTGCAAATGAAAAGTGCTCCTGAGCCAGTTCAAGTGTTGCCTGGTGTCTGCTGTTTCCAGGATAACTGGTCAACATTGTTCAATACACGTGTTAGAATCTCCCCTTCCCTGGCACCTGATGACTGAGCCCCATAAGAGCAGTCTGTCCAAGGGCCTCACAGGGAGAATGATGTGGGTCTCTACATTTAGAGCCAAGAACCCAGCATAAGTAAGAGGAAAGTGGGCAAGAGTGTTATACCTCAGGCAGTGAATATAAAGTTCCTGGTGACCAACTGTTCAATCTGGGATAGTCCCATCGTGATCATCTCACATATATAAGATTAACAGCAGGCCCTCATAGGGAAGAATTTCCTAGGTTAATGATACGGACCAAATAAGAAATAACACTGCATGATGTTTTTCCGAGTAGTGTTTAGGAAAACTCTTCTCACACAGTCTCCCTGGTCATGTGGGATCAGGTCCTATCAGGGCTTCCAGGTTCTTGCCAACCCTGAGTGAGACCTGAGTCACCCCCAGTCTGGATGTGCTGCAGCCACAGCTGTGAGTCCAGATTTCAGAAGGAAATTGTCTATGTGAGAAGAGCAAGGACTGCATCTACAGTTTTATGTCTCAGGGTAACCTGTACCTGAAGCTGACATTTTCATGGTTTCATGTAAAGATGCGCACAGCTCAGGGATGTGGTCTGCCCCACAGCTGATCATTGCAAAGGGGATCAATCTCATGTTTCTTCATTTGTTAGTGATGTGCTTAATATTTAATTGAACAGCTCCTGAATAATGGTGCCGATACCAAACACCATCACAAGGACAGTCACATTTCTGGAAAAAAAAAATCGTGGAACAATTGAAAGACTAACTTGTACTGCTATGTAATCTTGGGTAATTTAACAGAAATTCATATTTAATTGTCCAAGAACATAAATAAATGAAATTCTGGGTATAATTCCAGATGAAATTTGGTTTAAAATATCTTCTGGGAAATCTGCCAAAATAATGCTTTTTCCAAGATTGGAAAAGATAATTGAATAACGATGACATTGACTTTTAAATATTAAATGCCATTGCAATAATTTGGGCAATCAAATTGTACTTAAGAATTGGTTTAGAATAAAGGCTCATATTTTATGATTTCAAATTTATTTACTCTTTTCCTCATTAAATTTAGTAACTTTTGTGTACTTGACTTTTTCTTTTCTTATGTTATTAACCAATTCTAATCTGCTTCTTAGTCTTGAAAGAATTAGACTCCTAATTAATCATAATAGTGAAAAAAAGAAACGTCAGAGGCCGCAGGAAAAGGAAAAGAAAACACAAAACATAATCAGCCTAACTAAAATAGAACAAGATGGTGCATCTCCTTGCAAGTTTTAAATAATTATTCTGACAGGATGTTAAATGAAGAACCAGTTCTATCCATTATTCAATATGGAAATTTGAATTGCAAAAAAGTGAATAACAGTAAAAAAATTTTTAGGTTGTCTTATACTAAAAGTCAATTCTTAAATATGTTATTTTTGCAAAGTATTCTTTAAGATGCTTGAATTTAAGATAGCCTTGCTGTTTCCTATGAAACTTAATAAAAAATCGTTAAGAAGGCTACCACTGTGATTTAAAAAAAAAATCTCACGACCTGTTGCCTTACATACCATAAAACGTCAAATCTTGTAAAGATCTTTTATAGTCAGAAAAAGGCTTTGAAATTATCCTATATTACCTATATACTTAGAGAATAATATTACTAATTCTGATTAGAAACCTCCCTCTCTTATCTGTTGACACCTTACCCCAAGGCTTCGACAACAGCAGACAAAGCTGGTCACTCCACAGTGGACACAGATCAGAAGGTGTCACAGCTACCTCCATTCAGATGTAGGTGTGCAGCAGGCCTCTGCCTCTGTGTGTCTCTAACATGAACCATGGTCATCTGAATGAGGGAGGACTTCTGCAGGTGGGGTTTATTGTGACTGTGTCTCCTTTTACTGATGCGGTTAGTTTGGGGTCCATAGAATTGGGAGCAACTGCATTATTCATAAGGCTTGGGAAGAGAGACTTAGAAATGGAATTGTTTGTGTTCATGACCCTGGAGTCAGTGTTTGCGGTGGACAGTGTGATCTGATTTGTAGGGGATTGGAAGGACTTGTGGGCTGAGCAAGGAGAAGAGATGACCACAGGGGGGCAGTCGCACATGTGACTTTATTGAGTGAGGCATTCACAGGTTTGCAGAGACAAGACCCTCCCAGCAGGAATCTGTGCAGAGAATAAGATGTCAGCGTTGCTTCTCAAAACGGATGGGTTACTGGACAAGGGGCTGTGTGTCTAGGGGACGCCGCACAGCAACACAGTGGGGAGTTTCTGGTTTAAAGTTTTCATAACTGGGATTTATCTTATTGCTAGCAGATGTGGTTGAAATTTTCTGTACATGCAAAGTAATTATTTTCTAAAAGCCTAAAAATATTCTTCTTTGGGCTGTTTTTAAAATAATTACATTGTAAAATTTGAGTTTGGAACAGGCCATTGAGAAATAAATGCAGTTTTGAAATAAGCAATATAGGGGTCAGAACACACAGACCATGTTTGGCTCATTTATGTATCACTGTTTCCAATTCTGTAGACTTTGTTCTACAGATTGTGTTAGTCCAAATTCTCCAGATCAACACTACCATGGAAGAGGCCGAGAAACACAGAGGCCTGTTTAACCTGGGGTAAAATGAAGGTTCTTTTTGATTAAAGGGGAGTTTCTCTTTGGTTGAGAATTAAGACCAAGCCACCCACGAGTGTCCCTCTGTGAAGCTGCAGGTCCTGTGACTGGATTCCTGGCTGCAAGGCACCTGGGGTGGAAGCTGTCTGCATTCTCTCACTAACTGTAAATTGTCACTCACTGGAGCATCGATTCACAGATAAATACTCTGGAACACAGACAGCTCAGTGAATGAAGTTTCCGTGAATGCGTATCTTCTGTTTCTGAGAATCTATCTCTCCAGCACTGGAAGAAACAGGATTGTTTGTGTGTTTCACCTTCAGACCCTGTTCTAGACCTGTCTAAGATGAACATGTTTCCAAATGTCCAAATGTTTGAGGTATTGTTCTTCACTTTTTCTTGGAAAACATATTTAGAAATTTTATAAAACTATACACACAGCTGTGGGATTAAGTGGTGAGCTTTTCCTCTGTGCTTGTTAATCTTTCTGCAAAGCTCACCTCACCTACAAACAAACTGCACAAAGGGAAGCAATGATTCTGCTTCCTTCCTGAGCATTCTGTATCTTAAAAGTTCCCTCTCAATTCTCATTCTTGCATAAAAGGTCTTCTGCTCTCAAAAGTAGGTCTTCGTAAAACCTTAGCTTGCTTAGGAGGTTAGTAATTTTTTCCACTCTTTGAATGTGATGTTGGACTTGTTAACCATACAATAAACCCTGGCTTACTTGAAAGATGGGAAGTGGTAAACCCAAAAACTTTCCTGAGACTTAATTGGCGAATTTATCCTTTAAACTGTAGTGGAAGCTGCAGTTGATATGACAATGTGTGTGAGAAAAAGTAAAGTAACTTTCTTCTCTTAACTTAGATAATTTACCTATAGAAAAAATGGAAATAGAGTTTGAGAGTTCTCACACTCATAGCTTTTTCTTTCATATTAAATAATTCTAAGAATCCATAAAATACTCATATTAATTATAATTAAAGAAACTTTAAAGCTCTCAGGAAAAAAATCAGGCATCAAATTAACTCACTTAAGCTGATTCCTAAAATAACTGAAATTGTCTTTTAGCTTCTTCCTTTCATCTCCTGCTAGCAAAACTCGAAACTTCAGAACGGGAAACAGATAAGAGCTGAATAAATTATTTAGTTCTCATTCCTTGTCTTAAAATAATAGTTAATAATAATAATAACACAATCTCTGCATTGACAACTGGAAAGAGTGACTCCCTGCCCTACTGGAAGCAGCAGCTTCACCTCACGGTACTGAACTTCATTGTTACTTGGTCTCTCTAGAGCAGTAGCTAAGAATCACCCAAGTGTAAATGCTCCATGAACAACCGACTGACCTTGCTTTTCAGTGCTTCTAGAAGTTGGCTCTTATAAAATGCCTTCAAGGAGGAAGAGAATGAAGAATCATTAATAAAATAAAATTTAAAAAGATAAATTCTGACCTCCCAGGAGCAGTCAGGAACGTAACTACTAAGTTTAACAAAGGACTAGAGGCATCATCTCTTGCTGGACACTTACTTGGCTCCATCTTACTCATATTTAATATTCTTACCTTAGTAAATTTGAAACATCCTCAACCTGCAAAATGGTTTATTTTGTGTTCTAGAATCCTAGCAGCCATAAAAAGAAATTAAAACTGAATATGAGAATGTGTATTAATCTGTTACCCCGGGAAAACAGATTATACAAAAATTAACAATATAAGGCAAAATAAAAGAGAAAATTCTATTCATTCTGTGGAAAATCAAAGCAAATATCTAGTTCTCCATAACAATTGTGAGTATGTCATCAAGAAAGACCAATATCTTTGGTTTCTGGGTTGATGCTAACATATTAAACTTCAGCAAGTCTGTCTAGGG